TTCTTCTAGTCTAGCGGAATTTCTCTTCACATCCCCAAGTTCCGAAGTGGAAAGACCTCAAAGTCCGACTCGGGTCAGGGAAGCTCTTCCGATGGACCGCTCTCCGATTCTCAGGGTTCCGAGGGCTCACCGCCGACTGAGAGAGCTCCTGCGGTGAAGATTCTTACAGGTGAGGGGTCAAGGTCCAATTCACCGACCATGGAGAGATCGAAACTTGGTGGCAAGAGGGGTGTAGAGAGTTCTTCTTCCTCCATACAAATGGTGCTAGATCCCTCAGATGCAGAGTTCAGGCCTAAAGGAGCAGGATCCTTAAAGGCGTATTCCTACTCACACCCTCCCCCTCCATCGTATCGACGTGTTAATCCTCAGAAGAGGTCCGCTAGTCCCAGTACCCCTGAGCAGCCTTTCTATCCTTTGGAAGTGAATTTCTCATCAGCACAGGAGTCGGAGATGAGGAAGTCTCCAGATGAACCATTGCCCAGTGCTTCGCCCAGTGAGCACGACAATGCATCCAAGCCCAGCTTCGCTTCTTTCAGCGAGGAGACTCGTCGGAGGTTATTAAAACTAAACCTGCAAAAGAAAGCGGCTGAGAAGAGGCGACAAAGTGAAGGAGAAAGAGAGGTGACTTCGCCGCCGAGTGAAAGGAGCGACGAAACACCACGTGATGCGCCACGTGAACGAAAGATCTCAGATCAGGGAGTGTTTGAAAGAATGGATCAGCTCAGCAGCAGCAGTACAAGCCGCAGCAGTAGCGCCCATAGCAGCAAGAATCCGTCGCTGGATTCACTACACGTTTCACCTCAGCCTCAGCTAGATAAAGTGGCCAGTTTACCTGTGACGTCTCAAAGCGAAATGCCGCGAGTAAACGGTAGTGTTAAGACAATGTCGCTACCAAATGAAGCGCTTCGGGAAGTAGTGCCCAGGTCTAATGAGACAGTGGTGGCTGTTGTCAAAGGAAGAGGTGTGGTGTCTGGCACACTAAGACAGTTTGAACCCGCTCGAAGACCGGCTAGTCTGGATATCCCAACCAAACGAGAAAATGCTGAAGAGCTCCGGTTGGCTAGGAGATCTTTGGGCTCTGAAGAGAGCAGCGATACTTCGAGCGACGAGGGTGATGAATGCGCCATCAGCATGTCGAAGACATTTGATGAAAAGCTTCGGATTTTACTGGATCTTGGTAGCACGTTCGGAAACAAGGAGAGTGGAGGTGACACGCATAGCGATGATGATAAGTCGTCTGTGAGAAGTGAACCGCAGAGGAGGCCGATCACGAACAGTGACGAAATGGCACAACGCCGAGCATCGGATGAACCCGGCAGGGTGTACAAGATTGTCGGTGTTAACCCGTCAACTGATACTCACGAGACTGTGTCCACCCCATACAATACCAGATCACATGTTCCCAGGGATGCGCCCAGACACGACACTCCTGAAACGGAATTGAGATCGAACAGTTTAATAGAAATAAACACTAGTAAATACTTTGCAGCCCCTTCTACAGAGGAGCGTGCTAGTTCTCAGCCGCACTCTCCGGCGAGAACAGCTGCCCGTGGTGGAACACCCGTGTCTTCTGACAAAAAGGTGGGTGACCTGAGGCAAAGATTTGAGAGCAGTCCGAGTAAAGGCAAAGTTAGTGGTCTGACACCAAAGAGTAACCAGGTCAGAGGAAGAGATTACGCACCACCAGTTGCGCGAAAGAAAATTGGATCGGTCCGGACAACGACTCCTGTTTCTCTCAAGGAGTTCAATGTTAAACCTGTGAAGACATCTGCTGCTCAGCCCGTTCAAGTAGGAGGGGTAGGCAGAGGGGTACAGCATGGAACTACACAGAGACCGCCTGAAAGTAGAGCGGTGAGCTCGAGGAACATCCGCCTGGAGTCTAGCCCAGTGAAACACTCATCTACCTCACCAGTAAGGTACTACAGCGCAGAGAGAACTGATAGCGGTGTCGACAGGACTACACTGCGGGCAAGACCAAACGTGAATGTAGCGACAAATGAAAGATCCAAGGGGCCGCCAGTTGTAGGGAAAACACACGTGCCTCCACGAGTCATGAATCGAGAGTATGGATCCAAATCCAAACTGTTATCTCATAAAGACTCGGCTAAGGAACTACTTCCTTCAAAGACTAGATTATCACCCAGGGACGTTCGAGGTTCGCAAACACAGAGCAAGCTTGAGAAGGACGCACAACACATCGCCGAACTGCTGGAAGAGATGCACAGTGAACGCTACTTACATCTCTCTCGTCAACAGTCCGACATTTCAGGACAGGCGCAGAAAGCCGCTGCCCAGAGGGCCGCTATCCGCAGGCGCAGGCGCTCTTTAGGAGATGACAACAATCCTGTTCTGTTGCAAATGGCGAACTCACCCGCGGGCGAAAGGGAAAATACATCCACTCCCACGGGAATGGAAGTCACTCAGGGAGGCTATAACACGTGGCGTCCTGATGTAAGACCAAGTAGTCCTCAGCGCGGCGGAAACACCACAAGGAGTGCTGTTCACACTGTCAAGAGGTGACGCTGAGAGGAAGATGGAATCTTACTTGTCGTGTAAACGAGGCATTTGGGTCAGGTGACCATAATACCTCAGTTTCCTAACAGCAGGCGAAACTAAAACAAGAGCTGATCTCAACAACGCAAACATCTCACATGGTTGATTTTGTTATGAGCTTTGCGTTCCTGGCACTGTTCAGGTGTTAGCGCAGACCTCCTCTGCTGTATCTGTGTTCTGTGTAGCCCCTGCGTCCAACCTGAGGTAGCCACTAACCATCCTGCCTTGATTGTTTTTTGTTTCGTTTTTAACTACAAAGCGATATATTTTTCTACTCTTTAAAATCTTAGCATTTTTAATTCAGGTTCTCCTTTTATTTTGAATTATTTTATTCGAATGGTAAAAGTTCTTCAAGGAATTTACCTTTTTTGACTTTTATGAATATCACCGTAAGGTCATTGTATTCTATAGCATTGACAAATCATTACTGTATTGTCTCTAAGTCTTGTATAAATTTATTTCAACTTCCGATATGTTTCGTCGTGTTGTTGTGGCAAAAATAATGAAGACAGACGAGATTGTTAATTTTGTTCCATATCTTGAAAAGTAAGTTATTACTAATATATATATCCTTCCGTTTGAAGGAAACAAATGCTCTGGTTGTAAACGGGGGTTCGGATTTCATGGTTTTCGTTGTATAGAAAAACGTTTTCGAAACTTGGTCGCTGGTCTATTGTAGCTATTGTCATGCAATTTAACATCTAGTTGATTGCGTGACGTGACTCGCTGTTTAGGGGAGTCGCGTGAAAATCGCGCATCGTCACTATTTGAAGATTTTTTCAGTTACGGAGACAACTAACTTGTGTCCGCAGCTTTTATATGTCTTTGTATACAAATAGTTATTTTTCTTCCGACTCAAGTGTATACTCGAGAATTTTAATTAGGTCAATCAACAAATGCTTGTAAAAAAAAAAAAAAAAAAAAAAAAAAAA